GAGCTTCTCTTCTCCCATTTCAGGTCCCTGTTACTCAGTTCAGAGGCAAGATCGTCAACAGCTAAGACCGGCCAGATTGTGCATCATCAGATGGGTTTCTGGAGAAGTTTTGTGAATTACAGAATTAGTCAAAACCTGCACATCCTCTCCTACTTTTCCTATAAATTAAATGGTACTCAAAAAAAAATCAAACTACATCACTAAGGAAAATGAATGAAATATTAAAGTTGGATCATCATGTGAATAGAAGAAACTTAAGGTGCATTCACTATGATGAAATCAACTTTCGGCAGAAAGGTTTCCACGACATTTATCCCTCTCGTGAAACGTGCAACATGCAAATGTGTATGTACGGGTGGATTCGAACTCGGCTTGAGTAAAAAATTCATAAGCTCAAACTCGATTTTGAGAAAATATTTTATAAAAATAAAAAATTATATATAAAAATATTTTTTATTTGATATTTAAAAAATTAAGAATTATAATATTTTTATTATATATATTATATTATATATTAAATATTAATATATATATATATATATATATATATTCTAGTTGGCTCGCAAGCCTCACAGGCCGAGCTCTAGTAGGCTCGAGCTCAGTTGAAACCTAGTCGAGCTGAGCTCGAACAGCTCGTGAAAAGCTCGACTCGTTGCCACTCCTAYGTGTATGTAAGAGTTGTCTACTCAACAAATTGCAATATTTTTAAGGGATAAGTAGACTGCACTCCACCTCAGAAATTTGAAATTACAGCCCCCTCCTAATCTACTAGTAGGCCCCCTATAAACCACATTCTGTCCGTAGATTTGGCATCGATCCATGGTCAGGATTCATCACACCTATATGGTGAAGCTAAGGTTTTTAGGGTGGACTGAACAGTAAAAACCCCTTTTTTAATGCTTTATACCATGTTTCGTTTTGGAAATGTTGCCAAAAACATGACATTCGGCAACTTTAGGTAATATTGTAGAAAATTAGACATTTAGTGGGTATTTGCTAAATGTCACAACAAACGTCAGACATAACCTAGTATTAGGGGTGCTCACAGTTTGGTTAATCGAACCGTGAGCCTTTTCTTGTAACTGAACCTGTACTATCGGATTTTGGAAAACCGGTAATCGAAACCGAATCGGAACCAATCGGTTAATCGGTTGACCGGTTTGGTTTGTCGATTTTTTGGTTTTTATTTTTTACAATATATATTATATAAATATATAATAAAAAATTATAAATATATATAAAATATTATTTTTTAAATAATAAATAATATATCATATATTATAAATATATATTTATATATAATGCATATTTATTAATTTATAATATATAAAAGTATTAAATATATATATAATATACATAAATATATATAAAATATATAGAAATATATGTATATTGGTCGTTTCGGTTAATCAGCAGTTTTCTATGATGGTTAACTAAAACCGAACTGACTGATTCGATTAACCGATTTTTCAGTTTGGTTTGAAACGGTTTTTCAGTCAATTCAGTTTTTCGGTTCTTTTCTCACCCCTACCCAGTATTTGGTAACATTATAGAATATATACATCACAAAAAAGTTTATTCATGTTAGCAAACATCGCCAAAGATCTTTAATAACAGGTACACTTTTTCGCGACATTTCATTAAACATTACAAAAAGTACTTTTGATGACATTTGTTTAACATCACTAAAAAAAATTTATTTTAGTAACGTTTTCTAAACGTCCCCAAATGTTTTGATGACTTGAATGACCACCCCCTACTGGCATTTTTCTTGTGACCCAATTCAAATCACATCTATACACCTACTTTCAAGAAAATTCCCTCATCCATTCATTACACATCCATAACTATCCAATACAAAACATGATACCATTCAAATAAAAATTGAAATTTAATATTTAACATGAAATGACATATGTTTATAATTAATTGTTCAATACATAAAGGAAAAAAATACGAAAAAGTACAGACAGGTCCACTTCAGAATTCTGATTTCTATTGTAGACCTATAATATTTCAAAATATCAATTACCCCCACCTTATGCACCATGCTCCGCTTGTGAATTAGCTGGCATCTATTTTAATTGTACTTTGGGCCTATGAAGTCTAACGCTGAACTGAATCATCATTCTTCCAAAAAAGTATCATATATGCCATTTTTTTTTCAAATCATGGTATCAGCACTCTCTCTCTCTCTCTCTCTCTCTCTATATATATATATATCCCTCTCATGATAATACATAGGCACACAACCAAGATGAGAGGATATCTATAGATCAGTTGGAGAGTGCCCATATCATATTTGCAAATTTAATCTAGAAATGTGCTAAGTTCTCATGGTACAACTCTAGCGAGCATCTCTTGGCTTGTTTCTAGGGATATATTGAGTCAATTCCCTTTTTCTTGTCCTTAATCTCATAGGTTGAATTCCCCATGTTTCCGACAAATAGAATTCATGAATCTTTGAGAAACTTCAAATATAGAGAAGGGTAATCAAACATCATTCATTCATA